TATTATGATTTTGAATAGATTATCTAGCAATTCGATAATTGAATTTGGTTCATCAAATTTATGCTTCATTATTAGTATAATTAATAGATGTTCAATTATTTGTAAGTTTTGTTGGCTTATTCCATAGCTGATGAAGTAGTTCACAAAAAATACGCGAGATGTCAGTGTATGTAATTTGGCGACAGAATAAACCACAATATTCTTGAACGCACTTTTCAAAATGTATTCTGTACATGTACCTGTCTTGTGTGAGTATGATTGTCATTGTATGACCGGGGGGGAGGGGTTTAATCATACGATATTTAATTGCCTACCCTGTCTAGAAAACCTGTGCACGCCACTGCCATTCAGGAACTTTGCAAGTGAGATACTCAAGCACGAAGTTTTTAGTTTAAGTTTCTAGATTAGCATTACGGTCATCACACATTCCGGCTCAATGGTTCCGGCACGGCTCAAACACGGCGGTTTTTGCTTAGGAGACATTACAAAAAGCTTTTTGAAACGACATAGGATTTAAAATTCATATTTCAATGACAAGTTAATAGGGATGATGACAGGGTATGAAAATTAAAAATATTAGACACGTATCTTTTTATTTTGTCGTATAATAAAATAATACTTAGATATAACGAATTGAAGTTTAAGAGTTGGGGCTAAAACGTCATTTCTACGTATAAAATGTACATAGAAGTGACGTCACGCGACATTTCAAATTAACATATCGTCGAAAGCATTCGTTTCTGTAAGAAAATAAAAAATGCGTGTATAATATTTTAAAATAATCTACCAGACGGACATTAAAATAAAAATTAGGCATCTACCCTATTGCTGACCGCGCCGGTGCAGCGGGAACCGCAAACAATCGCGACCACCGCGGGCATAAACTCGCCGTGAAGCAATTTGCTTTGATTTTTCCAGGGTTGGAGTCGTGCTTGGTATGCAATGACCTTACCAGATGAATTTTCGTACGATATTTTAGCTAATATTGTACTTTTGTGATCAGTGTTTAGGGAATAGAGTGGAAAGTTCCCTAATATCGGAAAAGGAGGATCTTCCGACCAGGCGAGGTGATCGTGTCTGGCGGGTTTTCTGCCCAACAGTTCTTCGTTGGGTTTTTAACCGACTTCAAAAAAAGGAGAAGGTTCTCAATTCGACCGTATAAGCTTATATGCTTTTTTTATGTTTGTTCGCCGATATCTCCGTCGTTTATGAACCGATTTTAAGAATTCTTTTTTTGTTGGAAAGGAGATAGTTCCAGAATGGTCCCATGATAAGGAAATCAGGATCTGATGATGGAAGACCAGGGAAACCGAGGGGAACTTTTAAAAATTATAGGGGCGACTAGGGCATTTGGTAATTTTTTCATTAAGTATTGAAAAGCACTACAATTTGATAAAAGTCTGGAGCCGATCTGATGATGGAGCCGAGAGCCAGTTGAGGGAACTCCTCAACGGTTAACAGTAGCTACCTTGTGTTTGGGTTTGATTAATTTGTATTGATGAGGACTTTACACCTGGGTGCGGGGTGTAATTGTCAATAAGGGTCTGATGATGAAGTAGTACGATAGTTGAGGGAACTCCTCAACGGTTATCAGTAGCTATATTGTGTTTGGGTTTAATAATTTGTATTCATGAGGTCGTTACACCTAGATGGGGGTTTTTTTAAACGCAGTTTTTTAATTTTATCAAAAAATTAAATTGGTTCACTTCATTAATTTATTTATTCTACACTAAATTCTGCTAGCGGCTTTGCCCGCGTTACTATGGCATAAAAAGTAGCCTCTGTGTTCTGGATAACATATCGAACCCATTAGATTGTGTAACAAACAAACACAAACTTTCACAATTAATATCAGTAGGATCTGTATGAAGAAATACAAAACCATCAGACTATTTCAGGCCACATCATTGATTTGCAGAATGTAAACCATTGTACCGGCCAAACTTGGTATACTTAAATTATCCGAAATGGCTTTTATCTGTATTCACTAAATACCCATTTTACACAAGGAAAAAGCAATCGCTCTTTTAGTATACGCACTTTCTTTAATCTTTTACCTGTTACCTTAATAAATCCAATTAAAAAATAATAAAGCCTACTAAAGATTTTTTCCTTTTTTCAGGTGAAAGGAGCCGTCGACGGGCATAAGGTATGCGTACATTTAATGTTCATACTATTACTGGTACATTATGTTAATACATTCCTCTATTTTTAAATATCGAATACGTAGAACAAAATTTGTTTAAAGAGGTCCTATTATATTGCTGAAATAATTTGAAGTTAAAATTCTGGCACAAGGTCTGGCTACCAATTTAATGTTTGGCGACGACAGAATAATAAAAAATAACAACAGTTTCTGGAAATAGATAGAACAAGCAGATTTGATTTAAGCAATACACAATGTATGTATGTATATACGTTTGTATTAAGTAAATGATCAGGCCTTCTCTTTTTCAAAATCATTTCGTAAGACCGCCAGACGAGATCAGTATAATAACAATAATTTTGAAAACGTCGACAACGGCTTTATGACTCGGCGAGTGTTGTTAGTATCTATAGGTGACGCTGGGTGAGGTCATCTATCTGCTCATTTGCCCCGCATCCAACAAAAAAAACCAGATCATTATCTAAAAACGAGCAAATCCGTGGCCAAAGAGCTACTAGCTAGCGACCCAAATAACAATATCCAAAAATGTCCCAACATTGACCTTGAGTCCCAATTTATTCATGACCTTTTTAAAAAAAGTCAAGCCGTAAGCCGTCGAAACACAGCCCTATTAAATTTGTATCCCCAACGTTGCATTTTTAACCGAGAACTAGAGGTGACCCTTGACAACTCGTTTCCACACTCTTTGAGAATGATGAGCCTTTTTTTGCTACGTTAAAACGCTTTGATGAGCCGGTTTTTGCTGGATCTACATAGTTTAAACTTATAATAAAATGCTTAACTTATGAAAACTGGTGTGTGTTTCGTGATTGTTTATCGAACCCAACAACACCAACGCAGCTGCCGGCGGGCGAGTCTAGCGTGCCAACAGTGCCACGCGCCGTCGTCGCCGATACCACGAATGGAAGAAAGTGCGCGTGAATCACGGCAGAGGGCGCGCTGGGCCCGCAGACTCGAGTAGCCAGTAGCAGCGCGACACTCGCCGCGTCGCGGGTCGTGAAATGCTGCTCCTCAATATGAGCCTCTAGCATGACTTGAAACTAGTCGAGTTCCTCGTCAAATTACTACGTGAGTAAGCCGAAAACAATGATTTTTTTAGTATGTCTCCCAAAAGTTACAATACAAAGTTGCAGATTGCTTGGTAACTCAATAGTTGGATCTTTAGAAAACAATGGTATATAAGAACATAAGATAACCCGATATCACAAGGATAACATTAACATTGAACAATGAACATACTACAAAGTCTTTAACCTGGCAAAAATTATATGGATTATCAAAATAAAGTTTGATTTTTAAAGGGTAATTTAATTACGTTTAAATCTTACGGTTATAATAAAGGATAGACGCAGTCAAATTTAAATAAAGGGAAATAAATTAAGTAAAGGATTTATTCGACCACAAACCAATAAATATTTAATTAATAATATGAAATATCTACCTGTCAATTTCTGCTTCGCCATATTCTTGGGCATAGGCGCGTCATAAGATGGTAGCCTCGCATTAGGTATGAGGGAGGCGAGTGGTACTCCGACTAGTTTGTCCCGCGACTCCGCCCCGAACAACGCGGCCGCTGACTCTCCTTCACACGCCAGGATTATACCCGTGTCCGCTTCTACTGTTAACTGTTAAAATGGAAGAAAATAGTTAAAACGGACAATGCTCAAAAATGTATGAACGAACATAGAACAAAAAAAAAGAATACAATTTAACACGCCTATACTAAGTTGTACCTAATATTCTGTAGGCTCGTACGGTTATGGTTTAGGCCAAAACGAATAGCGCATTTGTGACCTCTTATTTATATTTTATGGTCTATTTTATTATCCATGAATGATTTTAATCGACGCTGGGTTTTTGTTATTTTTTAAATAAACCGTTATAGGAGAGTACCTTCAGGAGTTTTCTCTTGTGTCGTAATTGTGTTTACGAAAATACATACACACGAGACCTAGAACAAGTGTTTATGGAATATGCGAACATACCATATGTTCTGCGCAAGAATCGAAATTCCGACACATTATGTAGCGGATAGCCATGTCATGCATAGTCATGCTAGAATATGAGCTAGTAGTAAGTTTGTTCTCACGTATACGCACAATATTGGATAATGTATCAGAGAGATTGTAAAAGATATTTTTCAAAAAGAGTAACGAATGGAGTTTCTTGGTCGTTCTTCTCCATTCGAATCTACAATTTGGAATGAGCACCTAGCTTCACTGAGGGACAGACTATTATTTATTTTATATTAGTTGACGTTTCATAAGTAACAAATTATGGTTTAATAATATAACTACGGTTGGACTTTGACTTTATTATCACCCTTTTCAATGTGTTTCAAATAATCTCAAACGGCGCATGTATAGTAGGTAAACTTACTGGTAATATTTTTGAGCCGTTTGTGGTTGAGCTGAGACGCTAGGTCAGTGGGGCCTGAGTGCTCATACTTTATTTAAAAATATTTCAAAACCTCTGGTCGAAGTATCTCGTGTACGTGACCCTCTGGCTAGTATGTTCCTCGGCCAGCTTAAGCATTGCCATACAACGTGGAAATGCTGCCAGCCTTCTGGGTATGTTCCCATATGTTTTATAATTTGAAATGTATAATATTTTAGCAATAAAGTTTAATATAATTAAATACAACTCACCACAACACTCTTACAGTTGACAGGTTCAGCGACGACTAAGCACGGACCATCATTATCCAGCTGTCTTATCCACAGAGACACTTGCACTGACCCACCATCTTTGGATATTAGTTCTACTACCTGAAATTAAGCATACAACCATAATGTTACTTATCTAAATATTAAGTCGCTTACATACATACTATTCTGTGTTTTTTATAATAACTATCGTGAGACATATTAAATTAACTAAAAATCGCTGGTTACACCCGTGAATATACTAAGATAAGCTCTACTAGTTGGGCGATAGGCTGCGCGACATCGCTGCGACCGCGCACGCTGGTCACGAGGAAGAACCCCTCTGTGGTTCGAAACTAGTAGAGCTTTTCTCAGTATATTCACGTGAAAAACCTGCGATTTTTAATTAACATATTATTCTGGTTTATTTTAAAATTTTTATGGGATAAACCGGTAACCGAGCAGACGGATCACCTGATGGTAAGAAATCGGCGTAGCCAGTGGCACACCTGGTACACCAGAGGTGTTACAAGTGCGAAACACAGTGCAAGCGATTGTCTCACGTTGGTTTTGGCTCGACCGTGGTGGTATCAACGTCGAGCCGGCCCATTCGTGCCGAAACATAGCTCTCCCGCACTTGAATTTTTCAAGCATTTATGCAATATCTCAGTAGTTAATAAAGTGGTTAAATCCGTTGAACGTATATTGTATTCACATAATTTAGTGCTGTATTTGACAATTCAGTCCGGAATTAACAAATTATATCCAGTAGGCTGGTTCCAATGTCAGGATGGGAAGATTTATTTATAGAAGCAAAAGGTCACTTCTATAATTAGTTTTACATATAATTTTCATTCTTTTAAAAGTTTAACACCCCAATACTGAAAGGTTACTCAATTTTATGTTGTACTTAGATATCGTTCCATCTCTGTCATTATACAAAGAATTTGTAGTGACAGAACTACTTCATATTGAGTGGCGTTAGACTATAGGGTAGTTGTCTGGTAGATTAATTTAAAACATTAGACACGTATCTTTTCTTTTCTCACAAAAATAAATACTTTCGACGATATAATAATCTGAAATATAGTGTGACGTCACAATACTCTGCATTTTGTAGCACTTAGTGACGTAACGACCTCTCACTCCTAAACTTAACTCCATTTTATCTAAGTATTGTAACTTTATACAAGAAAATAAAAAAGAGAAGACACATAGGTGTCTAATATTTTTTCATCATCTAACTGACGGACTAATTAGATTTTTAAATTTCATTCCCTGGCAACTATCCTATTCTGAATTACAAATAGTTTACAATAAATACCTTTCCACTAAGCAAAACAACGGTTCCATCTTCGGAAGCGTCACAGTCCTCTGGTTCATGTAAGCTGAAAGCCTTGCAGTTCCTGTTTCTGAGTAGGTCGGAGAACCGAAGTCCACATAGGTCTCCTGATGAATATCCGAGCAAGGAACATGCTTTGTTGTTCACTATGAGAATCTGAAAATAATTAGATATGGTTAAGTAAGTAAATAGATGGTATTAAAGCCTTTGAAGTAATCTCTTAAACCAAGATTTAAATGTCTGTAGATTGAAGATGGAGAAGTATAGTTATTTTCATTTTAGTTGTATATTTTATAATATCCAACATTAGGAATTTTGAACTGCAAGATAAATGTAAAAAAAACTGTATCACTACATACAAAGTACTAAAACAAAGTCGCTATCCACCGTCTGTCTGTCCCTACGTATGATAAGATCTTTAAAACTGGGCAACGGATTTTGATGCAGTTTTTTTTAATACAAAGAGTGATTCTTAAGGAACCCGTTCGAAGCCGGGGCGGGTCTCTAGTTATATATATATAGTATTTTTTTACCTTCAAAGTATTAGGTTCAATGGTAAAGACAGCCTTGCTAGGGTTGATGGTTTGTTGGAGGCGCTCAGTCTGGGATGGAGCAGGGGATCCTGCTACATCAGGTGCTAGAGATGTGTTGAATCTAAGCCCATTTGGACCATCCACTGTTAACAATAGATTCATATTTTATTAAACAATATTATTTGAGATTTTGTACAGTATTGTGGAGGCAATTGTTAGAACATCTATTATGATTTTGTATAGGAATGTGGTTTTCATGATGTTTTCTATTTAATTCTGTTAAAATAGTTTTACTTTAATTATAAAGATCCAATTGGACAATACACACATATGAGGTATTACACACACATATGAGACAAACATTAAATATTATGTTAATCAGATTAGGTACTGAACATTATTATTCCCCAACATAGGAAGTATTCAACCCACCTCGCACAAGATCAACAGTTTGTTTGACTTTGGTGGGTGTCTCCAGCTCCATGGTCATAGGCCGCACCTTACGGCTCAGGCGCGGGAAGCTCTGGTTACCTTCAAAGGAACAGTTGCTGAACACATTCCGGTATCGATCCTGAGCTTTTGCAGTTCTGCAACAAAACATTACATAAACACACTTATAATAGCTGTAGAAAATATCTATAGGAATTTTATGGTTTCTGTCTAATCTCACAATCATAAAATCAACCTACTTTTAAGGATTTTAGACAAATACAACCTTACAAATCACTTTCTTTGTTAACAATTCCATAGTATCCACCTCTAGGGATACTCTTTTGTTTTAATTTCACCATAACAACTGAAAACATTGTTCTCACTGAACAATAAACACTGTACAACTATTACACCTGTTAACACCTCAATTTAATATTATGGAAAGAGATTATGATTTACAAAAAAGGTCAATGATAATGTCAAAGGTAAACATCAATTTACTTACCTGCATTTAAAATCAACTTCAATGTATTTCTCAGGGGTAATAAAATTTGGACTCTCATCCCTGGCTTCAGTAAATGTAAGCTTCGGTTTCTGCAAAATACATCGAGAACATTCGTCAATCAATCGGCTACCTTATTGAATTTCGCTATAAATAAATTACTTACAGGTCGCGGTGTTATATTTAGATGTTCAGGCGAGTAAACATCCACAAATCTCCCGAGTCTAGGCTTTACGGGTGTCAAGCTGGACGAATCTGCAACACTATTCCTTAAAACACACAAATCCTGTTATAAAAACACCTGAAACACCGTCTGAAAGCTTGCTTGTTTAACTAAATGCTAAGAAAATGCTAAAGGTCCGCTTTATGATTTATTTACATCGTTCTAACTTATTTTTGGATGGAAAATCAATACAATAGAGCGCGCAAGTTCAAAATACGAAACGAGGAGTAAAAAGTTTGTATTACATTCTTACCTTTGATAATTCAGCAAACCAGCAGATTCCATTCTCTCAAATTACAAATTAAAACAAATATTCTAAGATATTGAGTCGGATTTATAGCAAACGACTTCAAAAATTCAAAATGCACCGTTGCTGAGTTTTCAAACAAAAGAAACAAATTGAACAGCTGTATCGGGTTGGTTGTCAAAATAGTACTTGTTTAGATATTAAATTATTTTCTTCATTTATTTGGTAACGTAAAATTGACAATAATTAAGTGTAAAGTGTTTTTAAATCTAATAAGAATTTTACACTGTGTATTTTAATAAATTAAATATGTAAATGAATATTTTAACAACCTTTTACCGCCATCTACTGCTTATATGGTATCACTTTTATTATCTACGTGTTTTGAAATAGTTCATACAACATTTCTTTAGATGGCGCTGTGGTAAAATATGTAAATTTAAACTAAAATCGTGATTCCAGAATATATTTTAAGAATATTTGAATAAAAAAATATGTACAGAATTCAAAAAGTGATATTACTCATTCATATTTTTTATTAATTTTGAATGATCTACAACATACATTGTTCAGTACAACAATTTCGGACACTCTTTCGACTGGGAGCGTGGCGTCTCCTGTAATCCGGCTACTCGGAGGTCGGAACCGGAGGATGGTTTGAGGTCGGGGGTTCTGGTGTTGAGTGGCCCATGTTGACTGGACGTCCACACTAAGCCTGGTATTGATATGGATCCCCCGGAGGAGTCTGGGGGATGCAGGTCTACTAAGGAGGGGCGCACCGGGCCAGGGGGGAAACCCAGCAGCCAAAAGTCCCCGTATCGGGCAGTAGTGGGATAGCGGCCGGGAGTGGGTGCTCAGTATCAGCCCGACCAATAAAATCAGACCCGTTTCTTTTGCTATTTATTTAGACCAGAAAATCATACTTGTATAGATAACCGTATCGTGTTCTAGGTATTGTTTTAAAAGTATTATGATTGTGCAATTTTTTATTATAGTGGTACTTTAGTAAGAACACTTTTATTCGACTTTATTACATAGATAACAGATAATCTTTGTCTCTCGTGATCTCGTGACTTCAATATTAGTTCCTATCCTAACTTTAGTTTGCGCTTTACTCAATCAGATGGAATAAATAATTACTTGCATTGCATCAAGTTGCATGTCATGATTCGGGGATTTACGGTATTTCAGTGCGATGATCCCGTAACGTATAACGAAGGCTAATATCATAATAAAATGTGTCTTTTTTATATTCTAGACCTTTCCTGGAACTTATTACGGACAACCACGTCTATGTTCCGGTTACTGAGTGCACTTTCAAATCCCAAGGTCCTTCAGTACCTACTCTTATCGCGGTACATTTAAGTTTCACAGTCAAATTCGGATTATAACTCTTATTTTATAAGTCGTAGGGGTGATTTTCTTTGTATGTTAATCATTATGGTCCTATAAATTGTAGATTAATTGCTATAGATTCAGCAGGGCGTTGTTTTACGGATGTCGGTTGTTTTAGTGCGTAATTGTGTATAATGAGAGAATGGCAGGTTTGTGTGCACGATCATGAAGGCAATGTAAAATGTATGGCATATTATTCTCGGTAACAATTTAATTTTTTTGTTAAGTTGGTTATTAAATGAAATGTTTACTTTGATAAATAAGATCGATGTTTGTTTCATTACCGAAAATGTTTATATAAAACTGATAGTACATAATAATAAACAGAAATATAATTGTATTCACTCGTAATTAATTAGTGGTTCAAAACTAAAATACTTAGAATATTAATTTCACTCGAATCGAACTAATCGAAGTGCGTAAAATACCACGTTTCTCTCTCAGCGTGATATTAATATTTTTCTTTTTCATTTCATGACTATCTACTATAATAAATAAATTGAACAGTTTAATAACTTCAGGAGTACATTCATTAGTTCATCTGAGTTTAGAAGTTAATATATTTTTATGGATTTCTGAGGGGGACAGCGCGTACGCAGTCCCCACTACCAAAAATTACGCGTCCGAGTTATCCACATTAGGGATAATCGCAGGGGTCAACCCAATCGCAGTGCAATGAAAGGACCTCGCCCTGGGGGAACCGCCTTCATGATCACGGTATCCCCTACGCCAGGTAAGTATGCATTCTGCCGAGCGCGCCGCGAGGGTCATTCAACGCCGGAGAATCTTAACACCGCGATTCAGAATGTGACGTCATTGCACAGTGTCATCTAGTGGACAGCTTAGGAAGTAAATGCGGCGACTGCGCGATGGCGTAGTCCCCACTCCCCATTCCCCAGATGTTTTAACTACATACCGAATAGAGAGAGCTTTTGGTATCAAACACTCCTTTCAATGATAGATTGTGTCGATTTATTTATTTAATGCCAATGTTTAAATGTAATATGTGCTGAAACGTAGTGCTTTTAAAGAAATAAAAATCAGTTCCGTACTATTTTCAAATCATGCAGAAACTGAAATCTACATAAATTGGTGAAAAATTTGTGAAAAATGAAATCGTTTCGTAGTTTTCAGTTACCAAACAGTTATATTTTACTTACAGTTTGCCCCATAAGTTCGAAAAAAGGTGAAATTTTAAATAAGTATATGAGGAATGTTGTCAAGCGGTCACTTTGATTATAAATAGGTAGTATAGCATGATACTTAATTTACGCTAAGTACGATGATTACATAAACAATTTTCATACTTTCAGTATCAAAAAGTTTCAGCATCTTGTCAAATACAGACGAAAGCCTGCTGTAACATTCATATGGCACTTGCTACATTGTTAAACAGATGTCTTTCTCTGAACAGTTGAGTAAGCCCTAATAGTAGTCTAGATTAACACAAAGACCTGCGTGGGCGGACTAAATTTATTTTTTATTTAGACTACAAAGCATGAAATGAACTCAGTGCAAGTTCAACACAGAAGAAGATATTGCGAAAAAAATAGAATTATTCTATTGTAGGTCATCAATAGCGTCACGTATAGATAGATTTCTAGATTCTCTGTGCCCTTTCTTTTGTTGAGTTAAGAATGTAATGTGAAGTCTGAAATGGCTATAAACTTGTACTAGGTACTTAAAAGCTTGAATCACTGAAAACTGCTTAAACATCGGAAGACAGTTTTAATTTGACATCTGCAATAGCAATATGTTTTCGTAGCCACAAAAAATACCACGTAGCAACGGTGGCGTAGCGTGTCTTGGCCCCGGCCCTGTGTAAATTTCGTTTAACTGGTAAACCTCATGTAGGGTAAAGATTTGTCGCGGAGAACCTAACGGGTTACCGGGGCCCCGGTTCGACGTGCAGGAGAAGGAACGGGGTGGTATTTAGTCAGTAAGAGTCTGACACTCCCTCCCGCCTCACCTAGGCGGTAGCAGTCATTCGATGAATTGCCCCCTTAAAAAAATACAACTGCAATACAGAAAGAAAGAAACAAAAACAGTTTATTAACATCATTACAAAAATTAATAAAAAAAAATGACGATGACGTGATATTTTCTCCCCTTATAAAAAAATAAAATAAAAAAGGGTAAAGATTACTCAAAAAACTAATAATTTGTGTGAAAACCGAAAAACTTTATCGGACTATTGCCCGAATACTGAAATTAACGTACATTCATTCATATAGTTATAGTTTTGTCACTACAAATTCTTTGTAAGATGACAGAGATGGCACGATATTTATAACCTAAAATTGAGTAACCTTTCAGTATTTGGGTGTATGATTACTTTAGTTTTATAAAATTTTCTGCTAGCCTTTAAACGCATACTTACATACATTCAAGCGGGTAAAAAGTCGTTTATTTTAACTTTTGTGACTAACAAAATAAAATAAAAAATGGAAAGCTTTTATAAATTTTGCTTACGTACGTTGGGGGCCCCCGTGATCCGGAGCCCAGTATAATTGGTTCGGCAAATATGGCACTAGCTACGCCCCTGCGTAGCAACCAATTTAAAGTGTGGGAGAGCCATGTTTCGGCACGAATGGGCCGGCTCGACCGGAGTGATACCACGGCCTCACAGAAAACCGACGTGAAGAGGCCCAATTACCCTCCCCGTCCCCAATCTCCCCAATCCCTGAATCCCCAACGATCCTCAAACTCCTAATCCCCAAAAAGCCGGTAACGCACTTGTAACGCCTCCGATGTTCCAGGTGTCTATGGGCGACGCCGATTGCTTACCATCAGGTGATCCGCTTGCTCGCTTACCGGCTTATGCCATAAAAAAAACACTTGCTACGACCAAATATCGTTAACTTAAAACCACCGTTCATTCATCTCCAAGTTTCAAATATGAAGCGTACCTAACACTATAACTAAATAATAATGTAATTGAAACAAGTAATCCAAATGAATACTAATGTAGGTGTACACTAAATTGCATTCAGATCGGACATAGGTACCGTAGGTTGGCGAATGGTGACTTAACCTTTGGCTCGGCATGACATTACGTTCACTATAGCGGTCACGGGACAGACAGATATTTGTACCATACTGTATATAAGTCCAAAAGAATGTATGTCGTGACTTTTATCAGGTATTTAAAGTGTACTTAACTTTTACTTTTTGACTTTTATAGAAAGAATCTGGTTTTTATGAAGATGAGTTGGGGTGTCTCACTGTTTAAAAGTTTAAATCTTTAAGCATAAGTGAAAGAAGTCAATCTTTTTTGTTAGTAGTCTTCTATCTTGGCCACAGATAGCTATAAAAAGAGACTAGTGGAACAAGGGTAGCCTTTACCCTATAGGGGGACGACCATGGCTAAAGTAGTCTTCTATCAACAATTACCATAAATACAGTACCTATATCCGTAGGATTTTATATATATTATAATGCTATAAGGCAATGGCGTCATGTATGAAGGCAGTGATAATTCAATAAATCTCGTGCTAATTATATTATTTGGTTGCAATCAGTAGAAACAAAGCTTATGAGTCACTTGATGATTAGACAGTCATCATTGCTTAAACTGTCAAACACCAAGCGGTCACCGGTGACCGCAACCTATTGTTCTATAATTGTGTCTACAAAACCGGTACTCGACGAGTTAAGTAAACAAACCTGTTGATCAAGAAGATTTTTTATATGTAAAGTAAACGAGCAGACGGATCACCTGATGGTAAGCCATCGGCGTCGCCCATAAACACCTGGAACACTAGAGTCGTTACAAGTGCGTTACTGGCCTTTTGGGGTTTTGAGGATTGTTGGGAATTCAGGGATTGAGGAGATTAAATAATAAATAAAACGATAAAATGAGTAAAATACAAAATATTATCTTAATAGGATTGGTTGTTTTTTGAAGGAACATAGATTATTATTAGACCTGTTCAGATTCAGATCCTGTTCCGCCAATT